ATCTCATTATGCTAAATCACTAGTATTTGCTATATTTTTGAAATGCTTGGATCCTGTGTTAACAATTATTAGCTGTTTAGCTAATAGGTATGGTACATTTTTGTAATATTTATAATATTTGCAATAATAATTATAAATTATTTACAGAGAACCGTTTAACTTGACTCTTAATGTAAATATGAAGACCTCACTAGGATCTATTCGCAAGAAATTAGCTGGTGATTCATTGAGTGATCATATAGTCCTTTTGCGTCTATATCAAGTAAGAAATAGATCGAAATATAAAACTAAAAACTATGATGTATTTGTTCAGATGGATTAATTACTGCCCCTCAAACTGTAGTTCTTTAATTCTATATTTTTTCTTAATCTATGGTAAAAGAATAATTTTTATAATGTTATTTAGGCATTTAATGAAGGAAATATGGTTGATAGTGATTTGTTTAACCTTGTTTCACAATCAATTATGGGATTAATTACACAAACTAGAACTCAATTATTAGGTCAGTTAAGAGCATTGGAGTTAATTCAGACTCGCGCTGGTCCTAACGATATAAGGGATGTAAATATCAACTCAAATAATTGGGCTGCTGTTAAAGCTTGCTTATTAGCTGGATTATATCCAAACTTGGCTAAACTAGATAAATCTAATCCAAGACCAATTTTGAAAACAAAGTAATTCATTACATTTAATTATAAATTAAGTAACAGTAATTGATTTTAATTCATTGTCTTGCAATTTAATAGGACAGAAAAAAGTGTTATTTACCACGGATCAAGTGTCTTACGTGAAAATTATGTCAAAGACTTACCATCAGAATGGATAATATTTGAAGAAATGAGTTCTTTCAATACTAAAAAATTTATAAAAAACTGCACAGTAGTATCTCCAATGTCTGTGGCACTTTTTTCTAGTGCTATGAAATTACCTCAAGATTCTGTTAAAACTGAAGGTAGATTAAAAAAATATTCATACATTGCTGTTACTTTAAGAATGATTTCAAAAACGAATTTTCATTATTATAGATGATAGTGATGATAGTGATGAAGAAAATGATGACAAATTAGGAACGTTAAACCTAGATGGCTGGACTAGTTTTGTTGGAAATTCCGAAGATATTGCAAAAATCTTGAACATGCGGTTATGTCTTACTTTAGCTTACCGTGAATTTCTTAAAAATAAAATGATCTCCCAACATAGTGTAATTATATTAGTTTACTATTTTGTGTTTATAATATTAATTTATATTACATTTTTTTGTATAGTCCTTTAGTAGTGTCGTTCAATCAGTTGTTAAAATATTATCTATAGAAGATAGCGCTGTAGGATTGGAGGCTCCAGATGATGTTGGTAAACGTCCGAAAGAGAATAGTAATAAAGGTTAGCTTATTTAAGTTTATAACTACAGTCATCAAAATCTTATGTCAGTGTTATTACTTTATTATATTTATTTTGTTCATAAGGTCGTCATAGCAAAAATAATGATAATTCTTCATTTTCTTCTTTTCGCAAATATCCATATGGCCAGCACTCTCAAAATAAAAGTAAAATAATATTTATATTTAGTTATGTTTTTATTTAATAAAAAAACTTTATTCAACAGGTTATACAGACAGCAGCTCAAGTTTTAGAACAAGTAGAAATAGTTTTAACATGCCTAGTAAGTAAACATTCCAACAAAAAAGTATAACCCCTTTTACGATACTCTATTTGTATTAAAATGCAGCGACTGACTTGAAAATTAGGTTCCATAGTGTAGTGGGGAAATCTAAACAAAATTGGTTGACGCTGTGATTCCAAGCATCATTAAAATTAGGGATGGGCCGATGCTAGAATTTAAACTTGATATTGGTGGTATCAGTCTTTTTTAAAACCGAAATCAGAACTGATTTCAAAAAAAAATCTAAATCAATCTGCTTAATATATTGATATCATAAATTTATAGATTTTTTGATAGACTGATATAAGTTATCTTTTAATATCGGTTATGTTTTATGCCAAAAAAGGTGTTTTTAAAATTAAATGTTTTATCTGTTTTTTATCGATAGCATAACAATATATCAGTATCGGATGTTGGTAAAAATTTGTATCAATCCTTCCCTAATTAAAATGTACAATATTTATTTTTATTACATATGACCAGTACCGTAGGCAGGATTTTTTTTTGTGGTGGAAGGGGCTTAAACCCTAAAACTTCCCCTCCCTGGCTACAGGATGCATACAAAAAATATTAAAATAATTCTTTGATTATAGATATTAGAGGTACAAGTAATAGACATTATCAACAAAATTTTTCAAGTCCAAGTACATCTCAAGTTAACAATAACTACAAATGGTAATATTGTAGAATTAATTTTTATTTCAAAACAGTATTATAACCTACCTGTATTAAAGCAGGCTTTTTTTAACAAAAATAATTTATTGTTATTTTATTTAAAGTAAAATACTTTTGTTATTTAGTTTCTTAATTACAACCAAATGTATACATTTAAGTAATTAATTGTATTGTTTTAAACATTTATCAAGAAAAAATATGCTCTATAAAAATTAATGAAGAAATTAATTTAGTTTTATATGCTGCTTTTCATAATTAAATATAATTAACTCATTGTAAATCAAGTATTTTTAATTACATTTATTAATATTAATATAGTAAGTAAATATTATATTAAAAACCATTCAAATATATCTTTAAATTGCTACTAGTCCTGATTAAGGGTATGTGATATTTTTTAATGATTTTTGGAATTTAATTTAAAATACATGTTTCACCACAAAACATGTAGATCTTTTGTAGTATGTTTAAAAATGTATTATCATTAGTAGTTAAAATGTGATATTGTTAATATTATTTTTTAATTGAACTTTTTCTATTTATGTTATATTTAATAACTTGCAAAGCTTATAGTTAAAACTATATGAGATAAATATTTTCAAAGTACTTAAAGATTTAAATTTGTATTTCTTGTTATTAATATTGGTGTTGTATGGGTTTTTGGAAAATTTTGTATTTTGTGATATGTAAAGTATTCATTTTTAATTATGTTAAACTTTTAAATGTAAAATGCATTATTCTATGATCATTATGATCTGTTTAATATTATGTTATTATTAACATGTACAGTATCCAGTATTACCAAAGCAAAAGTTTGTTTAGTAAATGAATAAAGTACTTTTACTGTGTTGAAAAATTATTTTTGTTGTTTATTGCTCTTTTAAATAAAATTATTCATTAACTGCAAAAAAAAGTATGTTTAAACATTTTTTGTAAATTTAACAAGTTACTATGGCATCTTGTGAATAGTGGTTCTATAGCTTTTAAATAAATAAAATATATTTTCAATATTATATACCACACCATTTTAATAAAGTGTAGGTATTCCTGATTTTTTTTTTTGTATACTGGGGTGTTGGGCAAATTAGACAACAAAACTGCATTTGTTGTAAATCAAAATATTAACTAATATATAATATAGTTCAACGAAACATAAATACTTACAAAGAAAAATTAGTGTATGATTTCTAAAAATATCCAGATTCTTCTATAACAATTAACTATTTTACTTTTCAGTTGTATCTAGAACTGCTGTAAAACCACTTAGTCCCTCCCCCACCCCAGATCCTTGTCTGCGTCAATAATGGAAATGTTTAAATTGTTTTATAATTGTGTATATGTGTAGGACTATTAAAAAAAATATTTTATAATATTTCATGTATTATTGTTAATTATAAAAAGTCAATAAGATCTATAATGAATCTACGGTATGTCTAGGCAGTAGGCAAGTAATTGAAGGGGGTGGTGCGGGCGATTGCCCCTCCCCCCAAAGCCTTTATTATAAGTTTATCTTATAAGATTCTAAATATTATATAATCTACTGTTTTAATAAATTCATATAAGTGTCAAGTGTGCATTCAAAAATGGGACAAAACCGCTCTTATGCCTATTCCTTATACAGAGTTAGTTACCTATATATTTATTTATTTATACGTTATCATTTAAATGACATTAGTTAAATAAATGTATGGTTAACGTATATCACGTATAATAAAAATGTATTACAGTGTTTGGATTATTTTCAAAAAAATTATTCCCCTCCCCCAAGATGAGGTCCTAGGTACTTGCCTGGGTATGTCAATATACTGAATGGATACCTACCTAAATATTAGGGATGGGCCGATACTAGAACCGATTCTAGATATCGGTTTTATCGGTATCGGTTTTTTTTTCAAAACCGATATTTCAACCGATACCAAAAAAAAAAACCTATCGATCAGCATAGTATTGATAGTATCATAATTCACAAATGCACAGGTTAGGTTATTAATAATCAAACACTAAAGATTATTTTATAATAATCAATGTTTTCACTTTTCTAGGTAATATTATTTGTGTTATCAGGTATCGGTTTTATATCGGAATATCGGATATCGGTAATAAGTGGTATCGGCCCATCCCTACTAAATATTATAATATAAAATAAATTAGTCAAAATATTTTGTACATTTCACTGTCTAAAGAAAATAATGACAAACATAATTAATTGCATATAGTTTCTATAGTCCATCCAGTGAAAGCACAGTGTTTGACTGGGAATTATGTCTGAATGACAGGTGGAGTATGAAGGTGCATGCCAGATCGATTTTTTTTGTATGGTGTGCTGACAGGTAGTCTGCAATTAATTTTATGTATGAGCATCGTGTATATTAATGACTCATTCTCATGATGTGAAATAATTTTAAATCCTATATTTTCTTTTTTTTTCTTTTGGTAGCAGCATCATCAAAATGTGTAATGCAACATATATTAATGGACACCATTAGGTCCTCAACAAATAGGCACTTTTAAATCCCCATCAAAAATGTGCATTTATACATAATGTATTATGTAGTTTAGATGTTGTATAAGTTTGTAACCTCTACACTCTCAATAATGCGGACACTATCAACTGGTCCCAATCTTATAATTTAATTTCTAGGATCTATTTTAAAAAATAAATAATGAAATTAAAACTATCTTTTTTATTTCTATACAATCAATGTAAATTGTACAATGAAAATAAATTTATATTAATAGTAATAATTGTAACATGGTGTGACATAAAAGTAGCTAGCTGGTTACCAACCTGGAAAAAAATCTTATTGTGATATGATGAAAATATCAATTCACAACTCATAGTTGAGGAACAGAATCTTACTTTAAGTGTAGGTTATTTAAGAATTGTTTATTACAAATACTTGGATTAGTTAACATTTATATATTTATTTTAATTTTTGACATACAGGTAGGTACTTATTACTACAACATTGTTATGTACTATGTATACTAATTGATATTATAATAATTTTTACTATTAACAATAAAATTATATAGTTAATTTATTTGTTGTATTAAAATTATACATTGATACTTAATGCATTTAAAATGGTGACTGAGGTGAATGAGGAATTGTACTCATTGCTTCTTTTTTAATTCTACTAAACTTCTGCTTTATGTTTTCAATTGATTTTCGTGAAATAGATACACTTTTAATTTCATCTTTTATAATTTGAGATTTGCGGCCATTCTTATGTTCAGTTTCATTCATCATTGCAATATCCGTGGTATATACAGGTTGATTTTCAAGAGTAGCATACGTTTTATCCTAAAAAAAGATAGTATATAATGCACAACAATTTTCTAATTCATTGGAACCACTCATTTTATTACTATATTATTATACTACAGAACTAAATTTATATTTAACTATTAATATTACATATAAGTATATTTACCTGCAAGTTTCCAATTTCATAACTTTGTAATATTTTAACTTCTGCTTCATGTAATTCATTATTTTCTTCCACCATTTCCTGTAGGTTTTTTTAAAAGATTAATTACAATTATACATAATAATTTATAAATATTAAAGAAAATTAACTGAGTTATGATTAAATTTTGTACTTTGAAACTAGAAATTAAAGGTTTTTATAAAACTTATTATTAATTTGACTCAATAAAAATTATTTAGTTAATCACCATATTTGTCCTAACCTATGATATTTTTATTTTTATAAACTCAACTGGCCACTTCTACTGAAACCTTAACACTTGTTTTAATACTTAAAATATAATTTTATTTAAGTAATTCATAAAATAATTTACTATTTATTATTTCAGATTTTGAAAAAACACGAAAACAAAAAATCTATTAATACTATTTTAATTTTAAGTTTGGATTAACTATTATAAATTAATAATAAAGTTATCGACAAGAACACTTTGAGACACTGTTTTTGCCTAAGATGTAGTGCACACAAATATATTAAAAATATTTAATCTAATATAACAAGAAAATGTAAGTGTTCAATTTTGAAACACGTAAAAAGGAGCATCTCCAGAGCCCAACTTAAGTACTATTTGTGATGAGTACAATTAAAAAAATCCCAATAATATATATAATATGTTGAATATATTGTAGTAATGAATAATACTTACTACTTATTGGGATTTTTTTAATTGTATATATATATATATATTACGATACACAATATATATTATATTTGAATATGATACTATGAGAAGTTCTATAGAACACATTATATATTAAGTTGATTATAATAATTACTTCTTGTATATTATCTTCTTTAATTGGATTTGGTAATGTTTCATTATACACACATCTAATGGTATCAAAATTTATTGTCTGATACTTATATGGTTGACTTAGAGAATGTAGTAAAATTGATCGCCTTGATTTATTACTTTCTTTTGAAGTCATTAATTTCGGTTTATCACTGAAATCTGTTTTTAAAATTATTGGAGAAATAATTTTGTACACTGATTGTATTCTTGGATCGAGATTTTCAAGACTTTTGCCTAAAAAAAGTAAAATGTTTGTTTATGATAGATATATTTACTCTAAGAAAATAATTATAGGTATTAAGGATTATAAAATATATTAAGTACGGGAATGCTAATAAAACTAACTAAAAATTTAAGAATGATGTACCTGCTAAAAAAAAATACTCAAAAATGGTAAAAACAAAAAAAGGTGGTCAAGTACTGCTCTACTTAACATTATGTGTCATGTGGGTCACTGTCATAAATGTGTTAAATTTGTATTCAATGATAAAAAATCATTGTATACGAAAAACGATTATGAGAGAGTCAATCTATATTACCATATTATGTATATTTTATGATAAATTGCAATTAAAGTAATTTGTTTTACTATTAGCAAAACAGTAGGTATTTTTCAGAAAACATTTTATCCATAATACTTTAAAAGTTCTCAAGGATAATACATTTAAATTAATAAAATTGTTATATTTTGTTTAAATATCTAATTTTGTCCAAAATTGAACTTAAAATATCTATTAAAAATACTGTATTAATATATATTTTAGATTTTTTAGTTACAGTATAGAATACTTATGAAAACCTTGTTTAAAATGTTCAATCCTTAGTTAAACGAATTGAACAGTTTATACATTTATAACTACAAAATAATTTGCAGAGTTAACTTTGATGAATTTCAAAAGGTCAAAAGTAAAAATTCTCAGTACTTTCCAAAAGCATCGGAAAAATACCACAAAAAAAAAATTAAAATAAAGGAAACAAGGATGTGAAAAACCAGTTTTCGACAAAAATGATTTTTAAATAATAACTTTGGTTACTTTAAACATAGACCAAATGTTTATACTAACAATTTCTTGCTGAACAATTATCAAAATATTTTTATTTATTTTGAGCTATTTACGAGCTCACAAAAATTTTGATATTTGTAAGCTATTTTAAAATTTATTGTCAATAAGACGAATCAGTGTAATAGACGTATTAAATTTAATTACTATAACCATTGTTTATTTAAAATGATTCTGAACGATGACAGTTGTTACCTTATAATATTACTAACTAGTAACTATTAAGTAAATGCTATGATATTATTGTTATTAAAGTATTTATTTTACTTTTAGTCATTTGATACTAATGATACTGTAGTATGTTAAACTAATGTTTGCCGAAAAAATTGCATTTGAGAATGTCATTGGTGTGGAATACCTCATAAGTAGTTATAATATTAATTCAAAAATACTAAAGATACATAGGAATGATGATCAATTTTTATAGTTAAGAATTGACAGTTCAAACAATTCATAAGTAATTCATATTGTAACCAAAAATTCTAAACATTTTATCAATACAGTTTCTTTTATAGGTATTCAAAGTTAAAATTAGGGGCAAAATTGGATATTTAAACAAGAATAATAATTTGTTATTTTTTTGTAATTTAAAAATATTATTTTAGGTACTTGAAAATTGAAATAAAGCATAAGGTATATAATTTTATTTTACACACACAACTACATTTTCAAATGTAATTCATTATCCTACCTATAATAAAATAAATTACTTTAATAGCAATAATGTCAAACAAGTCTTTCCTCAGAATCATTTTTGTATACAATGTTTTAATATCCTTTAATTCAAATATAACAAGTTTGTTATAATGATCTTTCTAGACACTACTATACAGCAGGGTGGTACTCTTTTTAATTTTATAATTGAACATAATAATAAAAATAATAAATTGACTTACTAGAAAATACTTCTTTGTATAATACTTGATTTTCAATTTTTAAATTATCAACTATGCTATTTAAAATGTTTATATGTTTCTCATAAGATAGAATTTGGTCGGTCATATCAATAACTGATTGTTGTGATTCTTTAACCATCATATTAATATTTTCTTCGTCATTTAGCTGTTCACACCAATTTATATAACCATTTAAAGTATTTTTTATGATTGTAAGGAATTTAACCAGATCAACTTTTCCATAATTGTCCATTAATTCTTCTTGATTTATCTACATAATGTACATATTAATAAATAGGATAATACAAAATCATAACATAACATTAATTAAGAACTTACATTAAAAGTTAAATTAATTATGTTGGCATCCAAAGTTTCTGGAGTTTTTAATATAATATCAGTTAATCTTGCACACTTCAGAGCAATTAATTTATTTTGTTGAAAGTTTGCACACAAATTAATACATTTTTGTTTTAATTCCGAGACTTCATTTGCTTCAAGTATGTAAAAAAACATAATAAACAATAATTGGTTTTTGTAAATAAATATTATATTATACTAAGCCAGTGTCAGCCTGGTCAAGGCGGTCATTGCTGCCTGAGACCCTTAACTTTTTTAAAACCAAACTACATTAAATCTTGTTAAAACATTATGAGCACAAAAATATAAATGAGTTAAAATAGCTAAATTAGACAAGCAATACATGTATTTTTTCTCTCATACGTTAGTAAGATAAAAATATTTGCAGTCTGGAAATATATTAGTCCAAGTGTTCCTAAGCATCACACTCGTTGACCCATACTAATGTTATTAGCAGTCATACATTTTCAATTTTAAAAAATAATATTATTGATAATAGTAAATTTGTTACATTCATCTAGTTTTTAATTGAAATTATACTAGGAAAAGACAACAACTTCAAGGTAATTACTATAGTTTTGTTAGAAAAATTGTTAAACTCTGAAACTATTTCTATGGCTTATTTTATACATATTTTATGCCTCCAAGGGCACTCATAGGAAGGACATGCCCCCCTAAAAAATAATAAAGTATGCAAAAAGAATTATATATGCTTTAAATCCATATTATACTTATTTCATATGTAATACCATACTCGATACTACACTTTTGCTTAAAATATTTTATGTTCATACAGAATAATAGGTTTTAGAAGCTAGTTTCATTTTGTCCCTCCTCCCCTGGAAATTACACCATGACTGTCTCTACTCCACTCTCAGTTTATTTTCAAACTAAATAACTTAACTATATACAAGCTTGGTCAATGATAACAACACTAAAATATCGTATTTAAAAATACATAACAATGAGGAAATTGAATGTTTATACAAACAATGCAAGGATTTTTATAATTTTAAATGAAATAATGATTTTAATAAACTTTTAATAAAATAAGTATAAGATTATGTTTTTTTTTTTATAAATTTAGGTAGCCAATAAATATAATAATATACAACTTACATTATAGTTTGAAATTGCATGCATATAATTGAATAACAACTTAAGATTTGTTAGGCACCAAAACAAAAATCCTACTCAAGGACCCAGGCTGACACAGTACTAAGCCATAAATAATTAAAAACAAATTACAAAATTCTCATGCTTATTAAAAGTTATTTTCATACCAGTTGCTTCACAATGCTCAATATGAAGTAATTCAGATTTAAAATCTTTAATACGTTGCTTACTATCTTGAATGATTTCTTTATATTTTCTAAAATCATTACTCATGTTATGAAACAAAACAATAATTATTATGATTAATTACTTACACAGCTATACCTGTAGTATTTTTAAGAATACAACCAACTCGAGAAATTATTTCATTTACTTCATTAAAATTACAATTTGATATTCCATTAAACATTGATATTTTTTTGTCAATAAACTTGTCTTCAACATAAAGTGGTGCATTTAAAAAAATAATTCCTAAACATAAACTCAAAAAATAAGATATTACATACTATATATTTGTCACTTGGTTAATATTAATGGACAATGTAATAGAATAAGCAATTTAATATCATTATTTGTGAATATAAACTTCAATTGGGAAAAAATTAACTATAAATGTATACAATTATAGTTAAATGATCACTTGACTTAGTCCATTATAAGTAATTATTACCAATTTATAAATTTATTATAAGCAATAATACTATTTGTAGTTTACTCAACACATCATTGATATCGATATGATGAGCTAAATGAGAACTTTCTGTAAATTATTCAGTGGATAATATTTCTGAAAAATTGACAAATCAGAATCAAGATTTGTTCTAGTAGTTTTTTAGAAATGTGATATGAGGATAAAAGGTTAGGTAGGATAAGATATCTGGGGACTATGGTGATTGGAACATTTTAGTTATTAATATAAGTTTATCAACATAAATATTTTTTTAAAAATGGTCCAAGTATAATAAATATTAGTTCCAATATTATGTCTATTTTTATTTTTTTGTAGAACCATTTATAAGACTATTATTAGTACAAACATTCAATAGCTAAAAAACTACTCATTCAAAATTTGAAAGAGACAAATCAACAGTTTCAAAACAATTATCACAAAATAATTTTAAGTTAAAAAATCCCTAACGGAACCGCCCACGCGGGATCCGCCATTTTGATATCCAACCAAATCCAACACTACTTACTTCAACTGCCGTCAATACAAGCAACAAATATCCAAATCATACTAAACCATATACCAACTACACTATCCTCGGTTTACTGTCCTCCTCTACTGGCAATAACACCCCCCTCCCCCCCAAATCGAAAACTTCCTAAAGTCACTTGGGCGTTCGTTTATCGCCGGCGGTGATTTCATCGCTAAGAACATACAATGGGGTAGCAGATTAACCAACTCTAGAGGGAGATGTCTCTTTTTTTTTTTTTTTTTTTCGTGTTTGAACCGACGGCGCCGCGGGAACTGCTTTCGCATAGAGGGAGATGTCTCTAAAGCTGCGAAAAACGACTACAAAAACTTCCACACCAAAACAGTTAACTACACAAATCCATTGATTTCTAACTTAGCCAGTGAATTCATGCCAAATAACCCTCCACGTCGATTAAAAAAACACTGGTGTCGAGATCTCTTGAATCCCAACCTGCACTAATTTAAAACAAAATAAAACTCCCCACCCCAAGTTAGAGGGTATCCACACTGGTGGGCCTTCCTCCTCACGCCATTTCACGTTATGTTCCTCATATTTTATCCAATTTACTTACTGTATTGTAAATAAATATTACAGATTGTAAATATTCTATATTATCAAAAATAAAATTTAAAAAAAAAATGTTAAAAAAGAAGGCTACATTTCAACAGGACACTCCTTAAGTGGTATAAAAAAATCCAAGGATTTTAAAACATTGTATGCATGACTATTTAACATTCTAAAAATCAGGATTAATAAATTTATTATTAGAGGAAAACATGGGAGTGAGCATAATTGGTGATTCAAGTTGTAGATACTTATGACTTTTCAGATTGATAAATTCTCAAGAAATATTTCTTAAATTCTTTTATTTACAATATTTTATTTGGAAAAATGTCAATTAAAGGTATTAATTGCCCCAGAAGAATCGAATGACATTTACATTTTAAGCAGATGGTTCTCAAAATTGGAATTAGTAATAAGGTGAATGTCACACTTATGATGATACCAATGATGAGTTAAAAAACAAATTTAATATTTACATTTAGATGCCGATTATAAAATAAAAACTGAGAACATTATTTTTTTTTCGAATCATTTAATTATGATAGAATAATTAAAATACTTTACCTTTTTTTTTTAATTCACAGCACTTTATGTATAAACAAAATTGATACATAAAAAAAATAAAGACATGGCCACCAGGATTTGCTAATAATGATGAATTAACTTTTGAAACAACATTTGAAGATTTTTCATAGACAAACCCATCTAAACCCTAAAAAAAGTATAATGTATACTAATACCAAGGTAAACAATTATTTTTTCACCCTCATAAACTAATAATTTAGTTAATGATCATAGCTATATAAAATTATCATAATATACTTACATTAATTAGGAGTGTTGCGGTATTACGGAATTCAGCAGCTTCTTTAAAATTAGTTATTGGCCAAGGTACAGTTTTTAAGCAATTTGGATCTGTTAATGGAAGCAGATAATATAATACCTGTTCCATGGCTTCTTTGTTGGGTTTATTAAATATTTTCTAAAATGTAATTTACATTTAACATTAATAAATAATAGTATTTTTAAATAGATACAAAAACTTACATTTGTTAGATGTTTATTCAATGTCGGAGGAACAGTTTTTCTGCTTAGCATAGATATACCTTGTATATGATGACTAATTCTTGCTTCCATTATGCCAAGTTCAATTTAAACTCAATATTTTATAAATAGTCGATTAGTAAGAACATGTTTAAATAAATGCGTATACGACAAAAAAAGGTTATTGTGAACAAATATTTTATTCTAGGGCTATATTAAAATAAAACAACCGATTATTATAGAATTTACAAGTCCATCAAAATAGTAATTTATTTTATGCATAATAAAAATATAAATTATAACGAAAAAATGGCATGTATTAATAATTAATTATTATGCCTTACTACCCCAAAAAGCGTGGCATTGGTTCATTCTTAAAAACAATGAATAGAAACATGGATAATAAAATGTATTATAATATATTTCATAAGAGCATGGATATTTATTATAAACTAATGCTTTAATGAGTAACAATTGATCGGCAAGGTGATTGTGTAGTTATTTTTTAAACGTTTTTTATACTTTAAAGATAATACAACATTGCATTGTTTGTAATAATATTATGATAATTCCCGCCAAAATATATTTATTATTATCACAGAACAATATAGAATAGACACTCGGTCAGCTGTGTGGGTTTATGTATGAACTATGAAGACGTATTGGACTCCACAAGTTATACCGTATCCATATCTGATAGAACGTTGGCAACGTGTTCCCTCTTTGTTACAAAAATTTAAAAACGGATACAACGCAATCATAGAGTAATATTACTCTATGAACGCAATGGCCAATGGCATATTGACTATTCTTAGATCATATCACGATTAAAGATATACTCATGACTAAATAAACTTTATTTAGTCATGGATATACTTATTACCATAGAACAATGCTTATTACATATTATGATATTACTTAAGTATATTATCTTAAATCGTTGATCATATGCAATAGTAAAATTGAATAGTATAACTTATAAGTGTATAACGTCATGATCTAAGGCGCATAGGGAATAAAAACACCTACCACCCGGCTTGTAGGCTGCCATTTTGAGTTTTCTCGTGGAATAAACAATTTTATCTGCGCGATATTATCATGGAATAAAATTGTATTGTAATGTTGCCACTTAATTTTAAAACTCACCGTAAGAATACCAAGAAATGATTTTAGCTTCACAGAAAATGAAGTTCCTGAAAATTAAACGCCGTTGTTGGAATTCATGTCATTTTCCAATCTCCATTCTACTGTTCCATACTTTAATAAATTATAGAACTTCCTAATTTATAGTTTTAGAATTGTCTAAGTATTTTTTTTTTCAATTATAAATAATAAAGTGATTTAAAACAGAAAAGTTTATTTATTTATAAACATTTTATACATAAACATACATATTATTTTGATGTCACAATTATTATGGTCCGAAAGTGTTGTAAAGTTAGTTGCAGGCAAACATATTTTAAAGGCCTGAGTTTGTTCAAGTATGTATTTCAATTAAATATGCATTATTAATATTTACCTATATGAAACTATTTAGAGTTCCATTTTATGATGCTTTAGGGTCAGAAAAATGGATGAATGTGATAAGGGGTAATGAAACCAGAAACGAAGACTACTTTGTTTATGAAAAACATTTTAAGAGTAGTGATTTTGAACATAATGGCATCGATGTAAATGTAAAAAAATTAAAGTTATCTGCAGTACCCAGTTTATTTTTACCAGTACTAAATAATTTATTATTTTTTTATTTATAAAAATTAATTATTAAAATTGCATTCATTATACCTACCTACTTATAAAGGAGATTAAAATAGTATACAATGAATCTGAGAATAGAAATAACCATATTGAATTATCATTTGATTTTGAGGTAAACAAAATATATACCCATTAGATTTTTAGTTGGTTCTTTACTTAAGTTTTAAATAATTTGTTTAGGAAAATAATTTGAATTATGATTATATCAGTTATGAAAATTTACCATTGAACATAACTGAAATGAGTATTTGTAATGAAAATTCACCAATTCAAATAAATCACGGGACGCCAAAAATATTATTTTCTCAGGTAATAAACCATATTATTAAATAAGCATTAAGTTAGAAGTATACATATAGTATTTTATATTTAACAGATGCAGCTTATGAAGTATACCAGAATACTTTCTATTTAAAAAATAAGGGGGGGAGATTATCTGTTAAAGTAAAAAAAAAGGATATTTACTTAAATAGTATTATGTATTGGGTAAAACTAGTTTTAAGATTATACCAATCCAGGTAGTAGTGATCAATGAGTATTGCTCACTAATATGAATTTGTATATGAATATTTTATTTCAAGTTGATGGTTCATAAAAAATACAAATAACTAAAATAAATAATTACAATTACAAAAAATATAAATAAAAATAAAAATAAAGTAATATACCTAGTACAATATCTAGGGCACCTATTTAATTGAGCAAACAGATATTATATTTATGTATCAAAATAAATACCCGATTACATGTTCGTATATATAAGTCCATATAAGTTGAGCAGGTCGGTCAATGTTGTTAAATCATATTATATTTTTTTATGTTGTACCTATATAATAAACAAATAAACAATATGTGTTATTTATTAGTCAGTTAGCACGCCTTTCCTGAAACAACAATTAATAAATAAAACATAATACATTAATTGATATTCATAGCTAATAGTTTTACACTAGCGGCGTAATCTTTACATTTAGTTATACTGACGGTATGCAGAATTCTAAATTCTATGTCCGCAAATCAACACATACTGACATACTTATGTCGTGTAAATTAAATTAATTATATGAATTGAATTAAATTCACAAATATGTTCCTTATTTACATGGAGACCTATTTTTTTCACATCAAGTGTATATATTTTTTTTAAAGTGATACAGTAATGCATATTGCTGGATGCACACAAATGTCTGTTGTTTAAATGTACCCTAGGATAGTTAATAATAAATAATGTACAAATGTAGTATGTACAATGTATATTTTAGACTGACTGACTGACTGACTGATGTATATTTTAAATCCAAGATATATTATAGACTTAGTTATGATTCAATGTGTGAACCAATAATTAATAATAAAACATAATATATTAATTGATATTCATAGCTATTTTTTTACGTAAGTGGCATAATGTCTACATTTAGTTATACTGACAGTACAGCGATGGGCGTAGCCGCGTAGGTAGGAAATATTTTCGGAGGGGGTTTTTGTCTAAATCCTAAATAATATGCGAGTTAATAATATTCTCCAACAAATTCACAAAAAGCTCAACTGCTCAAGATTGTTTTATTTAATTTCGGGGGGTGTTTGAACACCCAACCCCCCCTTACCTACGCCCATGAGTACAGCTGTAACTGATCTTAACGCACAAAAAACAATTCTAAATTCTGGGTCTTATATCATGTAAATTTATTTAATTACATTTATTATTCATCGACAGAACTATTTCCTTCCCATCAAGTATTTATTTTTATTTAATAAGTTAAACTAACATTAACTAGACATTGCTAGGCGTACACACATATTTCTGTTGTTTAAATTTACTCAAAGATAGTACATAATAAATACTGTTACATTTTTATTTTAGACTGACTGATGTGTATTATAAGTCCAGGATAATATTGTAGATTTGAGTACCTATTGTTGAACAAAAATATTATACTGGATTTTATTTTAATGAGCAACGTTCAACTGTTTTTAATTTTTATATTAAAACCCATCTGGACCTACGGGCTCCAGCTCTGGGGTAGTGCAAAAAAATCAAATATTCAAAAAATTCAAGTTTTTCAAAACATTGCCCTAAGAAAAATCACAAATGCCCCTCCCTTTGCATCCAATCTTACGCTTCATAATGATCTAAGAATAACAACAGTACTTGACGAAGCTAAATGCTACTATAAAAGATTTCACACTAAACTACCTCTTCATCCTAATCCTCTAATTAAAAAACTATCTACCTAGTCCATTCCAGGTAATCCACCTAGACGGCTTAAGCGAAGATGGTGCCGAGACCTTCTGTCTAATAACTAAAACTAGCTTACCTTAAAACTTAAGAACACAAAATTAGGCAGTACCATCAATGGGTGGTTTCTTCCATCAAAAAATTCACATGTAAATACCCTTTGCACATTTGCTTATTGTTCTAGTTAAGAACAGATTGTAAATTTCTTGTAAAAATAAAAAAAATAAAAAAAAAAATAAAAAATTTTTTATATAGGTAGTTCAATGTATGCTCTGTTACGTGGTAACATTAATACTTAATCAACATAAGTAAGATAATATTCGCATAATAATATAGATACTATTTAACCATACTTCAGTATTCATTATATTGTGTCCATGTGTTTATATATATATTAGTATATACTTATAGTAAAATTTTTTAACAAGTTGTATCAGAAATTGCAGTGTATATTCGCAAAATATATGCTACTGACATGTTGACGATTACCATTATTAATTGTATGCACTATTAATTGTCACATCATGACGATAGTTTAAAGCAACTTTTAATACATTCCATTCAAACGGTCTATATATACCTAATGTAGTAAAGTACATACACAATTGTTGATAGGAATTGTAATGTGTAGTATATATGTACCAAAAACATAAGGAAATGCAATTTTAGGTTTAATTACACACAATTCTTAAGAATTTAAACGGTCGACGTGGTGAAAGTGTATATCTATAAAACTATTAATATGAATGTATACATGTTCTTTTTTGAATAAATTCAATAAATTACAATACATTTCGTTGTGCTTGTGTTTACCTTTTTTCCTCGGTAATCATAAGGTAATTAAACGCTTTATTATAATAATATAAATTATATAAATTGGTTAGGTTTTTAATCAAATAGCCGCTTGGTCGAACTGAAATTGCTCATATTGGTAATTAGATATTAGTCACATATACTTATGTTATGTAAATTATTTTAATTATGTGAATTATATCAAATTTGCAAATATATAATGCACATAACAGCTATTTCTTTCACATCAACTGTTTATTTTTATTAAATAAGTTACATATGTGTATATTTTAGACTTGCCGGTTTATACCATAAGTCCAGGAATCCAGGATAATATTATAGATTATAGATTCCATACTTATACCTCGAATAATAATACATATATAGTACATATCTTAACATATCTTAACTCATGCCGGGTGGTCTGCGTTTGGACGAATTACCTTTTTACCCGCATAATAAAAGTAATGTGGGGGACGAGGTGACCGAGTGGTGGTGGTCTGACTCTTCCGCTGCGACGCAGCCGGTCGCGGTTCGATCCTCGGCCACCGGGCGGCATTTTTCTCCGGACAAGTCGCGGTGACCGGAGAGCAAGTGCTGCCATCCCCCACCCCCGGGGCATGGCAGAAACCTACGGGTGCCCCATTCGAAATTCTGCCAAAAACAAACACACACGTGTTCCCCCTACCGTTCCAAAAACCTACAAACCATCAATACAAAAACCTACACTACCTACTAATAGCTAATGGCCACAGTTGCCGGGCTCAGGATCAATAAAAAAAAAAAAAAAAAGTAATGTGTTTGAGCGAGTTTCTTATAATGTCGTTGAGCGAGACAATTTAAAAGATAAAAATGAAAAGATTAAGATAAATATTATAACATAAAATATATAGGGAATTTTAGATCAACCTAAATATAGCACAGTCTTATTGTTGCGATCCAGATATGGAGTTCGGTTGACAAGGGTCGAAGCAAATGAATTTACTCGTAGACAAATTAATTATTATTATTAATTTATTGTCTTAGGTTAGTAATTTAACTTTTTAAACACTCAGAGTAATGTTCACAATTTAAGACAAATATCTCTAACATGAATACTGTCAACTAGTCGTCACGAAGAAATAGTGTGTCTGGTCTCCCTGATGGGGGCCTTTATATACTAGACAAACAGATTACATGGTCTTTTACTAGGTCCCACTTAAGTATTCACAACGGCTCTTTTACTACTTTTAGAAATCAACTTTTCCTTGTGACACTTATTAATAGTAATTAATATATTGTGCCACGTATGCCGTGTGCAATACTGTCTTAATAATATGTTCGTGTGTGGTCCCTTACCTTGACTATCTCAACACTTATATGCCAGTCGGGCAACTAGTAAAACTATTATATTTTCAAATATCAGTTTGCTTGAACATTGAAAACGTGAAGTTGTATTATAGTGTTGGGTTAGTGAGTTAATTAATATGGATGTTAAAATTGATTAAATTTTTAAAAACAAATTATTTTGTTTACTTGTAGGTACTGAAAATTTAAAACATCTTTGTGAATCTGAAAACGTTTTTGGCAGTGGAACATTTAGTATTATTACGCTCCTATAATTACTTTTATCAATTATAAACAATACACATCTTCAAACATAATTACTACATACCCGTAGTATATGCATTTTTGACATCAAAATCTGATGATCAATATATTTCTATGTGGTTAGAAATAAAAAAAATGTGTCTTGATTTAATAGGTAAAATTATAAATGTTCAAAAATTTCATTCAGATTTTGAAAAAGCAGCTCATAATACAGTTACTAATACATTCCCGGGTTGTCAATTGATATGTTGTCAGTTTAATTTAGCCAAATGTTGGTTTAGACAAATCCAAAAAAATAAAACATTGATAAGAGAATATGGTACCAATTTCGAACTTGGAGTTTGGCTTAAACATTTTTTTGGATTACCATATTTACCACCCAATGAAGTATAGGCGATGGTTTTATAGAACTTATGTCAATTGCTCCGAATACTCAAAAAAACATTGAATTTACAGATTATATACTTGATACATATACATATACGTCATACGTCAATGTCGATGAAAATTTGGAGATTTGTGGAGAATGGACTGAGAACGATATTATCTCCGATATATTAGACGAAGATAACGAAGAAGAAATTGAAGACCAACAAATACAATCCACCATTACAAATAAAGAAGCGAAACTTGTATTAGAAACATTACGTAAATATATTGAAGGCAATGAAGGTATGGAAGATTTATTTAAACCACTAGGTACTTTAGAAAATAGAATTGAGAACAATGTTTTAAATAAACAAAAACAATTAACTTTACACCAATTTTTTAAAAATGATAATAATATGTAAGTAGGAATGTAAGAAAACATTTTTTTAATTTTTTTAATGTATAATACTTAATTTAAAAATAAACATACTTTTTAAAAGTTTTTGATAACTCGAAATTTTTAGTAAGTCGAATTTTTTTTTTCCCCCTTGAACTTCGAGTTACCGAGAGTCGACTGTATTACAGAGGATGCTATTTTTCCTCCTTATCAATATACGGGCAAGGAAACCTGAAAATGATCCAAACACAACAAATGGAGCCGAATCATTCCATGTACATTATACCTCTCAATTTTATTCATCGACGCATCGCATCCAAATATATATCAAGTATGAAGTAATTAATGTGTTACAACAAATTCAAGTAGAAACTAACATAAAATACAATGCTATAAATAAAAATATTTACAACATTCGAAGAAAAGTCATATTAGAAAAACAAAAATATTTAAAAACAAGCTGGGATAAGTATATGTCGGGTGAAATTAAAATTTTAGATTATATACAACGTATGGGCGTAAAATTTCAAGGAAAAAAAATTTAAAAAACAAATAATTTTTTTTTATTTTCATAATATTTTAACTTAATTTATAATCATCTAAATAATTTCAATTTTTAATCATACCCGTGGAATTTACGGATAGTCCCAAGTCTGTCAAAATGAGAGGGATAATTGATTAATAAAAAATACAGCATCCTAGTATATTGAAAAAAAAGGTCGCCCAAACACATTGTTTTAAAATCACTGGCCCTAACACATTGTAATATTGTACTAAATTGCCCAAACACATTACGCCCGTTCATACCTCCATGGCTATATATTTGTAGCTTGTATACATGAACATTAGAGAATTCTAATTTCTCTAATGTTCATGCTTGTATATCAGTATGTCTTAACTCTTAAGTGTCCCGGTAACGGCAACGCCATCTACAAGAAAATAATATTATCTTCTGTATCGTAAGCACGGCTATAGATAATATTATTATCTATAGCCGTGATCGTAAGTATACCAATCACCCGTGACTGGCGCTCACTTGAATTGCTAGATGGCCTTGTCAATTATGAAATTGGATATTAATGATAATATATTATTATTTTTAAAACTAGTGTGCAGCTATATTCGGAAATACAGTGGCGCCGAAGTGTTTAAAAAATACTATGACATCATAAATCCAGGGGCCCCTCCTGAAGCTTGGGCCCCCAATTTTTTTTTCAATGTAACAATTGAATGCGAAACAAACTACCCACATAACTACATATTTAATGTATAACCATTTTTTTTTTCATTTATTAGCTGAAAAAATATTTAATTAATCCGTTTAAACATATGTAAGCTATTACCTAGCGACTAAGCCACTAAGCTGTGACCGATATTTTTAGATAAACCACATGAAATCGAGAACTAATTAGTTATTATTATCATTTAAATATTCATAATACAAAATAGCATAACATAATAATTACCAAAATACTACATAGATAATCAAGCTTTTATTTAATTAAAAGTTAAAAATCTTATAAAATTAATAATTTAATCAATACACTCCTTTTTTGTGCAAAAATATCTACTACTAAATCTTTATCAATCACAATGTCATTCTCACAAGACATTTTAACTTGGCCTTCTAGGCGGTCTTCAGATGTCCCAGGACCACAACCGGGCTCCAGTAACCCTTGGTGGGCCCCTCCCAGGTATAAAATCTACTATGACATATGTCATAGATAAATTAGGTGATCGGCGCCACTGCGGAAATGTATTATAATTTTAAGAGGCTAATACGTTTAACATAATGTAAGTAATATGTAAGACTTAGCGGCCTGCTTTTGTGGTTACGTCAAGGTTTGTCTCTACGATGTATGTACAATGTACGATACTTTTTGAATCATAACAAAATAATTAAAATTTGTTATTGCTTGTTTAAATATTCAATTCCTTTGAAATTTGAACTTCGAATATCTATATAAAATAATAATTGTACATTTGTGTATTTAGGTTTCTGTAAGATAATCATTAACTTTTTTTAATAGCATCCACAAGCTAAGAGCATTAGCAT